ACTCACTGCAGCTGCTGGCCGCTCACGCTGGCTGCTGGCTACACACGGTAGCCCATGGCAACCCACTGCCACAGGGGCTGCAGCCTATGCCGTCGCCTGCGACTCACAGCAGCCCAGCTCCAGGTTGAGCAGTTGTTCAGCATCTTAGCTGTAGAGGGCAGTGTCACTGTCCCTCATATGTGGGATCCGAACCGGCGCCCTCTGGCGTCCCAAGCCAGCTCTTAACCATCGCGCCACTTGGCCGGCCCTAGATGGCCTCATTTTTCAATGTTCTCGTCCAATTACTGAGGAAAAGGAGGCTTAGACAGGCTCAAGGACACAGCTCACAGAGCCCTGGGTGGGATTTATACATCCAACTCAGAGCCCTCCCTTAAGCTTGTCACATACCAACCAGCCCAGGCACTAAAAGGACCCTCCTCGAACCCTTAGTTGGAGCCTAGTTATTCTCACTTTATGTACAATTCTAACCAACCAACAGGCTGGTTCCCTAGAGCCGGTTCCCTAGCTCATGGCAGAGGAAAGGTTGAGGGGTGGGACAGCTTGGATCACTAGGGCACAGAAATGCTCATCAAGACAAAGTCAAAGCAGAGACCAGTCAGGCCTGGTCAGGGCAGTCAGAGCTCAGGAAGCTGAGGGTCCAACTCTCCAAGATGGGTCTGGGGACATCTGGAGGGTGGAGGAGCCTTAGGACTAACCAGAAGCACTGAGCGGGGCAGTGGGGCCATCAGAGGTGCCCTGAGGATCCTGGGCTCCTCTCCTCAGCATCTCCGCAGGACACCAGCCCCGGGCCCATCTACTTCCTGGACCCGAAAGTCACCCGGTTTGGCCGAAGCTGTACCCCTGCCTACTCCATGCAGGGCCGGGGCAAGTCTCGGGGTGAGTGTCTGATCTGTGCTGCCCCATAAGGACCCTGCCCTTTCAGGGTCTTGGCGACTCTGTCACCTCTGTCCTCTCCTTCCTTTTCATTCCCTAAATTCTTAGAACTTCAGTTTCTTGGGAATGACAAAGCCCACGACCTCAGAGGAAGGGCTGGGGGCCCTAAGAAAACATGAGTGAAGCAATGAAGGGTGACGGTGATGGTGACACTATGCACATGTAGTGCCATGAGGGCAGCTGGGCTCATCCTCAGCATCAGGAAACAACAGGGTGCAGTGGGCACTGTAGCAAATGTGGAAATCCCCTTTGCAGGCTTCGGACAGCTTACTTTCATCTAAAGTGCCTGATTTAATCACCGGATTCCAGTCTTCCATCCACTCACCCTTTCATCTTTTCACCTGTCACCCAATCTATTCATTCATCCACTGATCCATCTACCCATCCACTCATCGACCCACCAGTCATCCACCTATCCATCATCCATCCATCCTTCCACCCATCATCCATCTGTCCATTCACCCACTCTTTCATCCATTAATCCACCCATCCATGGATCTATCTATTCATTCACTCCTCACCCAACCATTCACCAACCACCCATCCTTCTACTCACCCATCCTCTCAAACATGTATTAGGCCACTGCTGGGAGTCGAAGTAGATGTGACATGTCCTTGCTTTTTATGAGATCCCAGAATGGTAATTGAGTCAGACCCAAACGGGGAACTTCTTGGGCAGGGGAAGACCCAGGCAGGAGGCTTTCCCTGAAGAGTTATAAGGGCTCTGCTTAGAAGGAGGGTGTGGGGAAGGCAGCAGGAAGGAGGAGACTCAGCCTGATGGAAGGATGAGAAGCAGATCTCAGGAGGTGGGAATGTGAAACGGAAAGCCTTCCTGGCACAGGGTTGAGCTTGGGCAAAGGCCTGGAGGCTTGAAAGAGAACAGAGTGTGTGTTGGGTGAGGAAGAGGAGAAATACGTCAGGGTTTCTTCAGAAGTCCTGTGAGCTCCAGGATGCATGTGGGCAAGGGGGAGCCATGCAAGTAAGGTTTTTGATTGAGCAGGTGAGGATACTGTCCATTGCCAATGTTTCTGCCCCATCCTCACAGGTCTGGAGGTGACGCCGGGCCCTGGGGCCTACAGCCCAGAGAAGGTGGCCCCTCTGCGCCAGCGGACTGCCCCGGCTTTTACCCTGGGCTCCCGCCTGCGTCTGCAGCCCCTGGACATCTCAGCTCCTGCCCCCAATGCCTACACCCTGCCCTCTCTCTGGGGTGCCCAGATCTTCATCAAGCCCAGTAGCCCCAGCTACACGGTGGTGGGCCGCACAACCCCTGCCCGCCCTCCACAGGACCCCGCTGAGATACCAGGCCCGGGCCAGTATGATAGCCCAGACCCCAATGCCTACCGACAACGCCGGCCCGCTTTCACCATGCTGGGGCGGCCCCGTGCCCCACGTCCCCCGGATGAGACACCTGGCCCTGGTACCCACAGCCCTGAGCAGGTCACCGTGACCAAAGCCAGGGCTCCAGCGTTCACCATGGGCATCCGACACTCCAAATGGGCCGCCACCATGGCTGCAGACACCATGCCCTGATGCCTCTCTGGGACAGGATGCTGTCTTGAGCGGAGCCTCAGTTTCCCTACCTGAGAAGTGGGGTATGGGCAGGCTTCTCCTGGGCCTGGCTTTGGCTGGGGGGTGGAGTGGTGTCTTGGAGAAGCCAGGGAAGGGGGAGGCACCTCCTTGCTTCCCCTTTTCTGAACTATCCGAGGTCCTTCTAGGCTACCTGTTTTCTCTAGTCCCTGGGGGCTGTGACCCCATGGCCCTGTGCAAGGCAAGTTTCTTTCCAGCGCCCCAGTTTCTTCTCTCCTGGTCATACCAGGCCAAGTTAGGCCAGGCAGAGAAAGAGACACCCCTGGCCCTTCCCAGTGGCTGGCTGGAGATGGAGCTTCCTGTGTCCTAGAACTCAGTGTCCGCCCTGCTAAGGCCTGGGTCCCCGACACAGCTCAGGTTTCTGCTAAACTTGGGCTCTTCTCTGCTTCTCATGGAAGCACAGCTCCCTCTCTATCCCACCCTCTAGCTGCTTGCCAATAAATCTCTATGGCACCAAGAGCTGTCAGCATCACACATGCATGTTTATTTATTTAACCCATGGTCTGTTTACATCACAGAAAGGAGATATGGAACACTGCTCTTGAACATCCAGACCCCCAAATCTGCAGACTCTGGGGGTCTGGATGGGACCAGAGGAAGGATTCAGGGTTTTGAGTGGGGGGAGCCAGGTAGGCTTCTTGGAAGGAGGGACATTGGAAGTTGGATGTATATGAGTTTGATGTATTCTAATATTCATCAATAGGTACTCTACAATTTTCCAAATATTGATAAAGATCACTTAAGCTTCACAGCAACTCTGTAGGCAAGTGATGTTTACCAAGAGGAAATTTGGCTTTGGAGGGATTGGACACTTGTCTGAGGGCACAATATGAACCCTAGTGTTTGTCTAGCGCCAGGGTTTGAATCCTGCCCATTGGGCTCCGTTCCTGCCATTCTTTCTTAGGAACAGGAAGGAAACACATGGATGGTGTCATGTGACTGAGCCCTCTGTGCCATGACACCTGGGCCCAGACCTTAAAAACCCCAACCCAGAAAAGCTCTAACCCAGAAGCTTGGCAGGGACAGACTACCATTGTTTTTACCTGGAAGAGATGACAGGATGTAGAGGACCTAGGTGGATACTAGCTTTCCTGACTGTTCTTTTCAGCCTGGGGATGCCACAGTTGACCATACACCCCTTTAGCTTGCTATTTGGACACACACCAAGACCCTTACACACCCACTTCAAAATGCACATGGACCCCCTAAACACACACCTGGAAGGAACCCAGATCCCCTCCTCATAGGCACACACATGTTCACATCTGCACACAAGATACACACAACCTGACCCTCAACAGTCCACACTTGTAGGTAGACCACACACACACCCCACACAAGTCCAGACTGGGGCTCCCGCACAGACCCATAGGCCACGCCCTTTTCACCCACTCACCCCAGACCCCACAGACGCACCATAGCTACCACATAGTGATACAGGCGTGGGATAGCATCACCGACCCCTTGCCCCCGTTGGGGGCCAATAGCGGCCGCGCGCGCCTCCCCCATCGTCTCCTCCTCCCAGGCCCTTAGGGCTGCAGAATGGTTGTGATCTCATCTCTCGGTTGTATCGATTTGGCTCCAGGCTGCCTCGCCCCTCCTTCCCCACCTGCCTGCGCGCCTCGGCCCCCTCCCTTTGTTTCCCAGCAGTCAGCCTTGCCTGGGGCGGGGGGAAGAGGGAGGGGGAGGAGGAATCAGCGGACACTGAAACCAGGAAGCTGGTCTTGGGGGTGACCATAACATCCAGTTCCCCGGTGCAGAAGGAATCAAACCTAGAGGCCCTGGGTAGGGACGAAGAGGCGGTGGGTGGGGGG